CCTATTCAGCCTTCACAAGAGAAGGCTGAGGGGGGATCTAGTTACCTGTTACAAACTAGTGAGGGGGGACCAGCAGGCACTGGGTAAGTCCCTGTTCCCCCGTGCACTACCGGAAGTGACCAGGAATAACGGTCACAAGCTAGCAGAGGGTAGATTTAGGCTAGATATCAGGAGGTGCTACTTCACGGTCAGGGCAGCTAGGATCTGGAACCAACTTCCAAGAGAAGTGGTGCTGGCTCCTACCTTGGGGGTCTTTAAGAGGAGGCTCGATGTACACCTTGCTGGGGTCATTTGACCCCAGTACTCTTTCCTGCCATGGCAGGGGGTCGGACTAGATGATCTACTCAGGTCCCTTCCGACCCCAGAAACTATGAAACTATGAAATAATCTTGTAGTATTTTTTCAAGTGAACAGAAGAAAACATTTAAGGTAGTCAAATGGAATTAATTACAAATTATTTACTCAGCTACTGGTATCACTCCAGTCATCTTTTGCTCCTATTGCCATCCCAAAACTAGTGTACCTCACCCTGACACTTGAGTTTAAGTACTGGTTATAGATCCAGTCATTGGATGAAACCAAAGAGGAATCCTTGATGAAATGGAAATCTACACTCCCCAGAGCAATAACTAACTCCTAGACATGCACTATTATCCTCAAAGATAAACAGGGATCCAGGTCTTCCATTTCCCACAGAAAAACAGAAAAAAAATGCGGATTTTCCCTTTTAACTGAGAAAAATGCAGATTTCTCATTTTAATAAAGAAACAAATGGATTTCCACTTTTGCAAAGAGCTCTCTGCGGCTGGCACAGTTCCAGCCTTCAAGGGGCTGGAGGAAGCGGGAGATGGGCAGTCAGGCAGGGGGCACCATGTGCATGTGCATGCATACACATGCACATGGCCACCAGGCAGTCTGGAGAGCAGTTCCTGCAGGTGAGTCTGGAGAGGGGAAAGGGGGGATTGAGGCCCGCACAGGGAGAGAGGGAGGCAGAGAGTAAGTTGGGCAAGAATGGAGCTGGGCCTGCTGTCCAGCTGGCCGGTGAATGTGGCTTGGGGCCCAGGGTCAGAATGCGCAGTTGCAGGCCCCTGGTGGGGCACGGGACAGGGCTACAGGGGGTAGTCCAGGGGGCGGGAGGGAAGGAGCCCCCCATTGCTGTGCACACTTCCAGGGGAGGTATGGGGGGCATGTGCCCTGCAGATCTGTGTACAGGGCGGAGGTGGGCTGGCTGCTGTGGGTTTGAGCTCCCCAGCCTGCTGCCTTGTCTTCAGGGCCTCCATGACCCAGAA